AGATTGTGTGGGGGGAGGGGTGGCTGTATGCTACGTGAGCGCGCTCATGTTGTGTACAGGTTCTTCCGTCGTGCATCTTTTAGAGTTCTCTTCTTTATCACCTGTTCTCTTATTCTTTGTCTGTTTCCGCTGACCCGTTTACTCCAATATAACTATGTTAACTATGTAACTTACAGTATGGATGCAAACTACATTGAATAATGATTAATTGTCTATACACATTTTTTTTTACTATCTATCAACCATTTAGTGTTTTTGGTTGTTACTACATCTACGCATATTTTCGTAGTTCAGCTATATGTCTATTTTTTCTCTTTTACCTGTTATAATAGAACTAATGTATTTGGACTGCCGTACATTCGTTTTAAGTGTCTCCCTTATTGCACTCTATTGTGTGGCCAGTCTCCCTTTAATATTCTAATAACCCCCAGTAAGTTGCGTTTGGGGGGTTGGGTTCTGGGGGGGTGGGCGTTGGGGTTGGGTCGGTTGAGGGTGTGGTTACTGCTGTTGTTGTTGTTGGTCTGTGGGCGGTAGATGTGAGGTTGGGGTTGCGGTTGGAGTTGCCACGCCTGGCTTTGGATCCGGAGTTTTGGCCGAGCGGGTAGGTTGTGTGCTGGTGGAAATAGAGAAAAGGCCGGGCGGGGACGGCCGCGTGGGAGGTGCGAGCTGCGCTTCGGTGTTTGTGATGTTGGCGGCGCTGGTAGGGGGAGGGATGGAGGTGGCACGTGAACCCACGGCTCGCCGGCGGGGTTGAGGTAGACTATTGGTTTTCCACTGCCGACGGGCTTTCGCCGGGGGAATGTTTGCGCTTTCATAGGCGGTGTTGTTGAGGAAGGCGGGGTGGGGGGTTGTGCTGGGCCGGGCCGGGGCGGCGGCGTTGCGGGCAGCTCGGCGACAGAAGGGCTATTGGAGTGGCGGGGGTGTTGGTGGCCATAATAGCGGAGAGCGATGATTGTGTCGACGCTTCGGCGGTCACGGGGCTGTGGTTGCGGAGGGCTAGGGGCCTCGTTGTTGTCTTCGCAATATCCCAGGTCCAGTAACGCCCGGGTAGAGAGCGAGGACAAGCTTGATCTTGATGGAGACGGCGGCCCTGAGGGTGGAGTTTCCGGCCTGGCGGCGACAGTCTGGTACTTCTTGGTGTTGGGATACATCTTTGCTGCTCGTCTGCGCCTTACGATCCGGCGACGGTAGGCGAATAAAAGGAAGATGCCAGCAAAAAGGAGCAGGGCTGCCCCCACAGTAATGGCCACGACAGCGATCACTGGGAGTGATCCGTCGGCCTCGGCGGCGGCTGATGGTTCGGCAGCCGGGAAAGGACTGGGGTCGGGTCGGGATCCAACGTACGGCGGCTCCGTACAACACGGACCGACGTCCACGGTCTGTATGCGGCTGGTGAATTCGAAGGTAGGAAGCGCCTGGGCGGCCTGTGTCGTCTGCCGCTGGTCAATATGCAAAGTAACCCAAGGTCTTACTCGGAGCGCCATGCATCGTAGACTTTCTAGAACTCCGAGACCAAAGGGACGGATTGGCTTCCATTCCCCAACCGCGCGGAAGCGAGGGGATATGGCTTATAAGCGCGAACATGGCAGGCCGAGCCGCACGAGGGCAGAATACCAGAGATAAAGGTACAACCACTTGGCGACCACCTTTGGGTTATTCTGCCTCACTCCTACGCACTAGCTGCCAGGAACGAAGCGTCCCGGAGGCGGTGCCCGTTGGCCCACGGTACCGGCTCGATAACATGAATAGGACGGGTAGGGTGGTACCGCTGACGATGTTGCGGCGCAGGTGGTCGGCAAAGACGGTGGTACGCAAACCAGGCGCCGTGAATACCACCCTCCGTCCGGAATAGGGCTTGTTGGCGGGAGATTAAGCGACAGCGCGCTTAAACAAATTCCAGTTGGAATCGGCATGCTGCCATTTAGCAGGCTACTTTTTCAAGTTTGCAAGCCTCAAAGAGCTGGGGAGGAGCTTTGTTGGCCACTGGCACCAACAACAATGTTGGTAGCCAAGTAAGCCTCCGGTATATGCCCTAGAAAAAGGGGCAATGGGAAGCAGAGGGGGCAGAGGGGGCAGAGGGGGCAGAGGGGGCAGAGGGGGCAGAGGGGGCAGAGGGGGCAGAGGGGGCAGAGGGGGCAGAGGGGGCGAACGGGCCAAGACCAACTGCGCCGCCAAAGGTCCTCAACTCCAAGTATACAATGCGCGGCTGTCCTGCATGGACGCGTGTATAGTACATGGTATGCGCGGTGCTCGTGTGTACGACCAAAAGGGGCTGCGGCTAACGCCTATCTAACTGGGGAAACAGTCTTCGCTATTCCATACTAAGCAACGGTTTTGGTAGGATGCGGGAGTGAACTCGACGAAAATGGAAAACTATGACCCAAATTATTTAGACGCGTCGCCTATTTTGGCTCGCCCGCAGGAAAATGAGGGGGTGTCAGCGCTTATTCAGAAGCACGCGGAATCCTCGTGGCTGCCACTGACGCAACCGAAGCGATACGCAAGCCACATATCGGTTCAGCCATATTCGTAAGCGACCCCATTCCTTTCTGTGGCAGGTGCCTTTGTCAAAGTTTGGTGGTAGCTGAGAATATGTCCAAGGAATCTGTACTCTGATCTTTTGGTCTCTTGCCCGTTTCAGATTAAAGAGTTGGTGGTGTTGGCTGGCCAGTTCCTTTGAGATGGAACGCACTCGGCGCACAAATCCGGGTTGCAGTTGGGGGCGGTGCCGGGCCCTTACCGTAGCACGGTATGGAAGTATGGAGGTGTGGCCGGCGGTATGGCCGGCTTGGGTCGAGGCCCGAGTCCGCCATCTGAGGTTTCAACGGTTGATGCCACCGAAATCGCCGGAAACGGCACGACAGCCGCAGCGCAGCTGCTGCCGACTACACAGTATGCAAGGTCACTCCACACCCACGAGAGTCGGTGCAAAAGCGGTTTTGCTGCACGGGCCGTGAGTATAAGTGGAGGGGAACATCTCTGTTTCCATTTTGCAACTACCGCCGATGCAGCAAGCGGGTGTTTCTATCCAAGGCCGGGCCGTTCTGGTCCTGTGGGAGATGCATTGGGAAAGCCCCAACCGGATTTCGAAAACAGCTGATGCCGAAGATTTTTTTCTAAAAAAGAAAGAAAAAAGAAAAAAAAATTGGACGAGAGGAGATGAAATACCAATTTATTTAGACGGAATATCAATTAGAACAGCGGCATTATTTGTCGAATGTAAGGGCATCGTTCTCCTTTCTTCTCTGAGAGAAGTGTCGTGGAAGACTTGCAGTTCGTGAGGAGGGTTGTGGCCTGGGGAGAGGGCCGCCCTGCGCCGTCTGATTCGAGGCCACCCTGGCCCGTTTCTTGGCGAACTCGTCCGTTTCATCCCCCCTCAATCATCTTATCCAATCAGCACCGCTAGACCCAAGTTTGTTTCAACAGTCCGTTTGTTCATTGGCTGACTTTTGTTAGCTCGGAATCCACTCCAGCGTGCGAATTCCCACCGGCTCCGCCCGCTCGATCGCAGAATGCACGACCGGGATGGTGGGGGATGTGATGGGATGGCACGATGACTGCTTCCCAGCTCCCCATGGGCACTTCCCCTAGGTAACCTTGCAGGTCCGTCCGGCTCACAAGATTTGGGGCATCACAACCCTATCGGTGGGTAGGGCACGGTCATTGTGATTGAACATTCCTAGCATGATCTGACGCCTGTGCGACAAAAATAAAGAAAAAGAAAAGTACTGAAATACCCTCCAACTACGAAAAACTATTCCATCGCTTCACGCATCTGATTTCCATTTTTGCCCTCGATCGATCTCGCTTGCGCAACGCCCTCACAGTAGCTGGAATCCTTTCCGTCTCTCTCGGCAGTGGCCGGCCACGGGTCTGCCGGTGTGGTGGTTTCAAGCCAAGCTAGTACAGAAGAGTGCAGAAAGTAGCAGGATGGAAGCAGAGTCCCTGCAGCGTGACACCATCACGTCGAATGGTGGGCGCTTACAGGCCGGCACTCTCGACCACTCTCGACCACTTGCCCCAATCAGCCGGCTGACCGTTTCCATGGTGCCACCAACCTTTGACCTTGGTTGACCTTGGCTTCCAAAAATACATCCCAAGACAGGCCTGAACACGACTGTGCCGCTCCGTTTCCCGCTCCCCGCCTCCCGGAGGCTTGCCCCTTGTTCTCGTCAGGTGCTTTCCTTGATCGACCACCCTTCCTGTTTCCCGTCTGTCCGAGGCCTCATGAATCCCCTCATCTTGCTATCAACCGTAATGGCCCGTCACCGTCAACATTGACCGTCAAGGAACCTGATTTCGGGGACGGTTCGAGCCGACTTGTTTGGTTGCTGCTATTCAGTGGATGTTTCCCTGGGATAGCTCCCAGTTTTGTCATCATGAAGATTGCCTGCTTGCAGTTCAACTCCCAGGTCGGTGAGGTCGATGACAACCTCAACCGTGCGGATGCCGTCCTCGACAGGATAGATCCCGAGGATCTTGATGGCCTCGACTTGCTTGTCCTGCCGGAGCTAGCCTTCAGTGGTAGGTGGTATTCCCTCGAGTTCCCACCGCCCTTTCGCTGTGGATCTCCCGCTGGGAATTAACATGAGCTTAGGTTACAACTTCAAGTCGTTGCAGCACATCACCCCCTGCCTCGAAGAGGCTGGCTCCGGCATCACTTCTCTTTGGGCGCAGACCACTGCACTCAAGCACGACTGCACCGTTGTTGTCGGTTATCCCGAGAAAGTGGACGTCTCGGCAAACTGGCCAGCATCCCCTGAGTATTATAACTCGGCTCTTGCCATAAACGGCGATGGGGACAGTGTCGGCAATTACAGGAAGTCCTTCTTGTTCTACACCGACGAGACCTGGGCTCTGGAGGGTGGCAATGAATTCTTCAAAGGCGAGATTGCCGGACTTGGAAATGTCGCCTTGGGTATCGGTACCGATCTCAAGTAAGTCCTATGACCCCTACTATACCTATGTCCATCGGCTAACATCACAGCCCTTATAAACTCGAAGCCCCCTGGGACGCCTTCGAGTTTGGTTTCCACGTTGCCAAAACGCAGGCCAACGTGGTGATAGTATCCATGGCCTGGCAGACACACCAGGATCCCGATGTATTCGGCGCCAACCCCGCGGAACCCGATATCGAGACACTTGTTTATTGGGTCCAGCGACTCGAGCCCCTGATCCGCGCAGACAAAGAGGAGGAGGTCATCGTCGTCTTTTGCAACAGGGCTGGATCTGAGACGGAAGCCACATACACCGGTACGAGCGCTGTCATCGGCATTAAGCGGGGCGAGGTTTTCGTCTATGGGGTTCTGGGGCGTGGGGTGGACGACCTGCTCATTGTCGATACGGAACAGCCGCCCATGAGCAAACTCACGGATGCCGACGCCGTAGAGCGCGACGAGTTTCTCACCGAGAAGCCTACCCCACATGTAGAGAACGACCTGCGGACGCACCGAATCTCGGACAATGCCCTCTCGGAAGAGAGCGAAGCATGTCCATGCTATCTTGCTGACTCTGGACTTAGCCCCGAAATCAACAGCCCCCGACAGCCAACTTCTCCCAAGTTACCCTGGCTAGCGCAAATCCCCCAGCCGGGTGATACCCCCACGGACACTCGGTCCCCTACTCGTCTGCAAATTCCTACCTCCCCGACTCGTCTGCAAATTCCTACTCGACCCCAGTTCGACGAATACATCGCCATAGACAGTGCCATCTCAGATGATGTCATAATCGACACGCCGGCGGTGGGAGATACCCCAGCCTTGGACCGTCGCTCATTCCGCCCCAAGCTCGCGAACCCTTCATCGCCTTGGAGGTTCCCCAGCAAGCAGAGTCCGTATCCTTGGCACCATCATGACGGGTCACACTCTTCGGTCTTTGGTGCCGGGGCTGCCATGACACCCATCACACCGTTTGACGAGGACGGCTGGAGTTCGACACCGATCGAACAGAAGGCGCCGCCCCAATGGTTTTGGAAGCATGAGCCGACGTTGTCCGCTTTGAAGGAGTCGATCGTGGAGGAGGATGAGGAAGAGCCGGATGAATCACCGGATACAAAAGCGCCACAGCATGGGGCGGAAAGTGAACCGAAACCAACGCAGTTCGAGACGGGAAATACTGTTTCCAAGAGTGACGACAGGCAAGATGAGGAGGAGGAAGTACTCGAGCTAGAACCGGAGACCACCCCTCTGAACGACTGGGCCGAACTCGCTGACGTCTTGGGGGGCCTGAAGGTGCGACCTGGCTCAGCATTCGATTTCAAATCGTCCCACAACGACAGGCCTAGCTCGCCAAAATCGCGATACCAACCTCGGGATACAAGTCCCCTCCGGCTTTTCCAGCCATCCGAGTTAAGTTATGGTGAACAGGAACAGACTGCGTGGGGCATGCCCGACTCGGATCCGACACGGTCGGGGGTTGGGAACGCCTGGGGCGACGGCGGCGATGGCGGAGAACGGAGTGCATTATTTACCTTTGCCAGGCCGTCTAGTAGGGCAAGTCACCGGTCACTCCAGAGGGGGCACTCGTTCGACAACGCTAGCGGCAACGGGGGGCACGGTCAGTGGGCAAGCAAACGTCAACCGTCCCGTCTCCGGCACACCATCTTCGCGGACGACGTTGCAGACGACGCCATAGACGATGAGTCGGACTACGACTCGCCCGATGACGACTACAGCCCTAGGCGTAGAGGCAGAAGCCGCGGCAGACAGCCCAGCTCCCAACCCCCTACCATGCTCGACCAGCCGAGCCCTGGCCATGAGAATCACGCCAACCCCTACCCAAACAAAAACAACAACCACCTCCAACAGCAACAACAACAACAACCCCAAGCCACCCACAACAACAAACACCCCACACCCCTCTCCATCGACCCCACCATCGCCACCCACCACCACCACCAACAAGCAACCACCCCCAGCCTCTGCTCAGCCACCTCAGCAACCTCTACGACATCCGTCTCAACATTCGCCGACCCCCTTCCCGGGCTGGGTGACACCGTTCTGCCACGGGTGGATGCCGGTAATGAGGAGGATTTGGAGGACGGGTTGGTGTCTCTTGGTGGGTATGCTGGCGGTGGTGGTGCTGAGCCGGGTGTTGTTGTGCTTTCTGGTGGGGTGGGAGTGGGGATGGGAGGGAAGGGGGCTGGAGGGGAGGTTTGGTTTGGGGGGGAGGGGGTGGCTTGAAGGGGTTAGGGGTAGGGCGGTGGTTGGGTTGTAAAGACTAGGGGAGGGTAGTGAGCTGGGTGTTGGGTGTGTTGTGTTGTGGGTGGTGGAGGGTTTATGATGTTATGATATGATGCTGGAGCTTGCATGTGAAATGGGGGTTATGGGGTACAAAAGAGCTAGGAGGGCGGCGGTGTTGGAGTTGAGTTCGGTTGGGGGACTTAAGAGAACAAAGGGGACTAGGGGAAGGGGGATGGAGATATGTTGCTGTTGTTTTAGGTGTATCATACCTTCATAACTAGCTATGGGATACATGGTATCTGTTGTTTTCATTCCATGCTCACTTTGCCTTGTTGTGGACCAAGTACCGCAACACCCAGTTCCAGTTTCATCCGAACCTTCCCTCCACCGCGTTCCTTCCTGGCACTCCGTGAGCAGCAGCCCACGGTATACATACAGGTTTCGCATCCCACACTGTCACCGACCCCCCTAATTCGACTCAATACCGATTGGCTCAACGGCATTGGGGGCGACCCGGGTGGAACGCCAACCGAAAGAGGCCGTGGGTTCGGCTCCCTCCTCGCGAAGAAAAACCCCAAACGGGGTTTTTCGTAGCCTGCAGCCCTCATCCGACCGGCGGATGGGGTCGGCAGGTGAGCTTTTTTGTGGGTTTTTTTTTTCTTTCTTTTTCTTTTTTTTTCCCCTCAAATGTTTCATGCTTGTGTTGTTTACGAAAAAGACCGGCTCAGGGGTAAAACATCCAGCTTACACACCCATCCTACGCAACACCCCGCCACCAAGGTTTGGCATGGGAAGTGTCCATGGGCTACCCTTTACAAATGTTGATTATGCCAATAACTATGATATAGGCTCTGGAGATGCCCGCGAATGGGAAGGTAATCGGGAGTGTCCAGGTCCTCTCCGTCAAGATATTCCAGGCCCGGTGTGGTGGGCCCGGGAGCTCAACCATGACAGCAACAAACTCACGCCGTCGGATTGTATTCTGCAGCACAAGGCTGACTGTACTTCCTCTTCAAAGAAAGAAGAGTTATGAGGGGCGAGTAACGATTCTGAAATCCTCCGACTTTGGTAAATCACTATAGCCCTGATGTTCTGCCCGAAACAACATTCGAGTATGTTAACGCCAACACTCTGGGATCCACATCCCGATGAACTCCCTGCTTTGTGAATTCAGCGGTTGCATGGCTAAGCTTTACCCGAAACGCACAGTCCCAGTGAGTGGGTTTTTGCCGTGCTGTGGGTAGTTAATTAATGTGTATATCGACGACCTCCCCACGCTACGAGCCCCCGACATGCTTTCGCCTCATCCGCAGAGCCATGGACGGAAGGCGCGGCGAGTTAGGAAATGGACACCGCAACCATTCTCCTCGGCACTATCACTCTGGCAGTAGCGCCGTGGCGTTGGCTTGTGGAAATGCGACCCGAGTGAGGTTCTCGGAGATGCATTGACGGTGCGTGCCGCAAGCTCAGGGGCGGATTGAGGTGTTCGAGCGAATAGGGTGTTGCTGCCGAGAATCGGTACCTCGCCTCCCGGGTAGTCGACTTTCAATGCTCCCAGCATTTCGGAAGACGGCAACCTTCAGCCGAGAATCTCTTGGACTCTTCGATATCATCCAGACGCAACGTGCCTGGTAACTGATCTGGAGCACTAATTCGTATTTTGAGACCAGTCATCTTGGTCGGTGAGCCTAATCAACACGGCGGTCATCCTCGTCGATGTCGTCTTTCGGTGTGTTTGGGTTCCCGAGACAGAATGTTACCGAGATTCGGCAGACTAACATGTAATTCTCACACTGTGTCGGATGCTGGTGAAGATTTGAAATGGAGGGCAAGCTTGGGGGCCACCCCGGCAGCGAGTGCCTTTCCCCTCACGGCAGAATTCTCGTGTGTGACGAGTGGTGGTGAGGAGAGGAAGGAGAGTTCCGGGCTGGCCTCGAGGAGCTCAGCTCCAGCCGAAACGGGCAAATCGTGGGTCACGGGTAAACCAGCGACAGCCAATCATGGTGGCACAACGGGTGACTGGAGTGGGGGTGTGAAGAAGGCCAGGGCCCTTGCAGCAGGCACATCTGGTCCCTGCGCTGCGACTGGTCAATGCTGTGCGCACCCGCATGGTTAGCGTTGACTGTGCCATCGAACTGCATCTCTCCCGCATCTTAGCTTTGGCCATTGGGGACGCTCACCTTGGCTGACAGCAAGCAATGCGCTGTGCCGATCGGGGGTCGATGTGCGAATTGCTTGATTTGCCCATCCCACGGCCTGTCCCGACGGCCCCAATCACACACACCATGACAGCTCGTCCCCGCCACAGCCACCAGACGGCGCACTGGGGTTCGGTGGGCTCAGTGGTTCACTGTGTGAAGAGTGTTGTTGTTCCCTCAGCACTTTCCCGTCACTGTCACATCTGTTGGCGTCGCTGCCATCTTCAAACCAACAACCTGCAGCCCGGATGAAATGCGCGCTTAACTGATAGCTGTCGAGCGCGCCTTTGTCGCTGTGGCTTCTGATCTCGAGCCCGCCGACACCGACTGCGACTGTTCGGTCCTCTTCACCGTCTTCTTATGTCCCACAGGCGACTTCTGTTTCGTTCGACAGCCCTCTCTGCCCCCCAAAGCGAAAGATTCTCGTAAACACCTATCGTCGGCATGTCGTACAGGAAACTTGTGCGGCAGTAATCATCCCCTCCGGAGCTGCAGCTGCGTCCCCGCATTCCGGATCAGACGAAAGTCAACGCCGACCGACCGAATTCACAAATCCGTCTGAACACTACCGATCCAGCTTTTCGACCCTTGGCGGCATAGGGACGAAATCTCCAAGATGCCGCTGAGAGCCGCTTGTCTGCTCGCCGCCGCCGTGTGCGCACGGTTGGCGGCAACGCTTTTCGTCGCCCCCGACTCGCCATGCTCAAAGTACTGCGGCAACGTCCAAGGTTCGACGGCCACGGACGAGATGGCCTGCGATGCCGGCACTCTGAGAAACTCCCCGACAGGCGTCGTATGGGAGCAATGCATCGGTTGTCTACTCACCAGCACCCACGTCGCCGGCGGGCAATCAGATCTACAAGCACTACTTTGTATGTGTCGTACGGTACTTCTCAGCAGTAGTTCACCCGCTGACTTGATCATTACTAGACAACCTGCGGTTTAGTATGGGCCACTGTTTGTTCGGCGGCGGCACAAACCCATGCCTGACAAGGTGAGGCTTCTCATCCTATTGTCTTGCCCTGTAACAGTCTCGCTAACAGCGCACAAGCACGGCATGTGAACCATTCAAGGCTGCCGTGGTATACCAGAACATGACGACCTCAGTTCCTCCTCTAGAGTATTGTAAGAAGTGGGACCCGGGGATGGTCGACCACTGCAGTACTTGCCTCGTGCCCCTCTTACAAGACGACGTGGAGGGCATATCTCAGAATAATTACATGACGACTCTTGAGGCAGCATGCGAGCAGATGCCTGAACCTGGCTCCACCGTATCCATCGATGGCGACCTCTTCGGCCCCGACCCCATCACCATCGTCGCGCCAGAAGTCTCGTATGTGGGTGTCCCGTCCCCCGACTACGGCCCTGTCTCCCTCGGTGCCCGCGTCGGCATCGCCTTTGGTGGTCTGGCCCTCATCCTCGCCATCGTCGGTTTCTGCATCATCTTCAACGGCAAGCGGAAACGCCGTGCCTTCCTCCGCGAACTCGAGCGTCGCCATGGCGGCCAGGGATGGCCACACCCCAAGACCCGCTACGGCGGCGGCGAGGGGCAGGACATGTTTGAGACCCCCGTCAGCCAGCAGCCCTTGCGGGGGTGGGAGAATGGGAGCCCCGTAAGCGCGCACACGGAGACGCAATTCCCGCGCTACTTCAGCCCCTACTCGAGCCAGTACAACAGCCCCGTTACCGGGCCCGACGGATCAGGCCCTAGCCACGCTCAATGGCCGACTATCGCGAGCCATCTGCCCACACAAGAGCAACTCGACCAGATAATCCAGGCGCAGTCGCCCACCCACAGCTCGCCGCCACCAGCCTTCACACAATGGCCGACGATCAGCCAGGAGAAGATGGCCATGCAAATGCACTCGCAACCCGAGAAAAGGCAGGATGAGATACCAATAGGGGTTGCGCTCGGCGGGGACGAGGCGAGCTTACGGTCCAAGGCGTCGAACCTCAACCTCAACGGGTACCCGATTGAGTCCAAGGGCAAGGGGAGGGACGAGGCATACGAGATGCACGAGGTGGAAAGCCCGTATGCAAACGGCAACGGGGATGCGGCGGGCCGCCAGTATGAGTATCCATACAGGATGCCTGCTGAGCCGCAAGCTCCGGTATTGCATCACCCCGGTTACGGGAGACATCACGGGTCGCGGCCCGGGTCGGGTGGCGCAGGCGGCGTGGATGCATCGGCAGGGTATGGGATGGGGGAATATGGCGCGGGGCAATACGCGCAAAGAGGATTTACAGCCGCATAAGACGGCTGAGGGGGGAGACCCGGCTGGCGGAGTCCCTTATTTGTGTTTTTCTTTGCTATTATAATACCCGGATCTGGATGGAGTTGGATATACCTGGAAGCCGCCTCAAGGTAGGTAGGCCTTTGCTTTGTGGGCATGGAAGGAGAGGGCACGTATATCTTGGATGACTGTATATATTGGACCTGTATTGTATCAATGGCTGAGTAGTTGGGTAGCCACCCAACAAGTCACAATGCTGATGAGCACCTTGTCTTTACTCTCCATTCCATGAATGCATGAGCTCGTCGTTAATTACTCCACTCACCAAAGTGCCCCGAGGTGCCCAATCGCTTGCAGACTTGGACCCCCTTGCATAACCAACCACCGACCCACCTCTTATCGGCACGTGAGAATCAGTTCACAATGGGCTTAGCGCCATCTCCAGACAGCGTTATCGCTTCCCCACATCGCACCTCTGGCTCAAAAAAATTTCGGGTCGGCAAATGAACAGAGCTTTCGAGGTCGTCAACAATCACAGACGGTGGAAAATCGTACGGCGACTGTCCGACTACTCGATCCAGCCTGCCGGCCGACGCGTGAATATACTCACGGTCCACCTATAACCTTGTTTGCTTTTTCTGGACGGCCAATTGCCTTACGAACGACGCGGTGTCAAGAACCTTTGTGTTTCGAATCAAGCAGAATTGAGGCTTGAGTGGGGGTTTTATTCAGTTCGACTGCATTACACGACGCACAAAACACCGACACAATGTCTGACTCGAAAGCGCTGGTAAAGAAGGGGGAGGACAATGAGGTTGAATACATGATCAAGCCGCAGACCTTGGTGCCAACGCTTAACACCAGCGACTGGCCCCTGCTGCTGAAGAACTACGACAAGATGCTGGTGCGCTCCGGCCACTTCACGCCCATTCCCAACGGCTCCTCGCCCTACAAGCGCGACATCAAGTCCTATGTTTCGAGCGGTGTCATCAATCTGGACAAGCCGTCGAACCCCTCGTCACACGAAGTCGTCGCTTGGCTCAAGCGGATGCTCCGGTATGTGGGATTAGAGACGAAAGGTACGGAAATGGTAACGCTGACAAGTTCTGCAGTGTTGAGAAGACTGGCCACTCCGGTACCCTCGATCCCAAGGTCACTGGCTGCCTGAGTATGTGATTCCGTTCCCTGAAAAACAAATGGCAGCCTCGGCTAACCGGACTAGTTGTCTGCATTGACCGCGCCACCCGCCTCGTCAAGGCTCAGCAAGGTGCCGGTAAGGAGTACGTTGCCGTCGTCCGCTTCCACGACACCATCCCCGGCGGCGAGCCGGCTTTCGCCAAGGCGCTCGAGACCCTCACCGGTGCCCTGTTCCAGCGCCCGCCCCTCATCTCGGCCGTCAAGCGCCAGCTGCGTATCCGCACGATCCACGAGAGCAAGCTCATTGAGTTCGACAACGACCGCCACCTCGGCGTGTTCTGGGTGTCTTGCGAGGCCGGCACCTACATCCGTACTCTCTGCGTGCACTTGGGCCTGCTCCTTGGCGTGGGCGCCCACATGCAGGAGCTCCGCCGCGTGCGCTCCGGTGTCATGTCGGAGGACAACGGCTCGCTCGTCACGTTGCACGATGTCCTCGACGCCCAATGGCAGTACGACAACGGTGGCGACGAGTCGTACCTGCGCAAGGTTATCCAGCCGCTCGAGACGTTGCTCTGCACGTACAAGCGCCTTGTCGTCAAGGACTCGGCTGTCAACGCCGTCTGCTACGGCGCCAAGCTTATGCTGCCCGGTCTGCTGCGGTATGACGCTGGCATTGATGCCCACGAGGAGGTCGTCCTCATGACCACCAAGGGCGAGGCCATCGCCATTGGCATTGCCCAGATGAGCACCGTCGAGTAAGTTGCCATGCCACTGATTTATTTGTTTGACTTCCCGCTGACTGTCGCACAGGATGTCCACCTGCGACCACGGTGTTGTTGCTAAGGTCAAGCGCTGCATCATGGAGCGCGACTTGTACCCGCGCCGCTGGGGCCTCGGTCCCGTGGCCATGGAGAAAAAGAAGCTCAAGGCGGACGGCAAGCTGGACAAGTTCGGCCGGACCAACGAGGCCACCCCGGCCAAGTGGCAGCAGGGCTACACCGACTACGGTGCCGCCGATGCCGCCGCCGCTGCTGCCGCCAGCGCTGCTGCTGCTCCTTTGGAGGCTGCCTCCCCCCAGAAGCAGATTGAGGCTGCCCCGGCCACGGAGGAGAAGGCGGACGAGGAGAGCAAGAAGCGCAAGAAGCACGAGGGCGAGACGGCCGAGGAGAAGGCGGAGCGGAAACGGTTGAAGAAGGAGAAGAAGGAAAAGAAGGAGAAGAAGAAGGGGAAGGAGGCGGCGGACGAGAGTGATTAAGAGGCAAGATTGTATGATCTGGGTGTTCCTTCTCGCTTCTGGATGGAGGGCGTTTTGCTGGCTGCGGCCGTTGCACGGAAAAATGTCGGCGTTTCTGGTTGTTTGTCTGGTCATGGCGGTGGATTCAGCTGTTAATATTTCAGGGGGTTCCCCGCAGGTAGAATAGATGTGTCCTGAATCTGGACGTGTCTTTTCAATGAGCTACCCGGGTGAAACAGCACTGTGACCATGGCGAATAGCTGGTGGTTGAAACCCAAGGCTGGGGTTCACGTCGGAGGCGCCTAGTGCAAGAGGCAGCGTGGGTGTCGACATGCGAGTCAATGTGCTTGAGGAGGGTGGGTGTAGGCATCCTCAACAACATTGCCTTAACCGGCCAGCTAGAACTTACGCATACAGACCCACGGAGTGCTTTAGGAGCGCGCATTCATTGCCTTTGTATTTTTTACAACAGCTGGCCGGCCCCCGCCGTCCGATATATGCGGCTGGGCGTCTCTGGGAGTAACTCTGGCCGGTAACGGCAAGACCTTCTAGCGAAATCATCTGATGAGGTCACTAGTCGATTCGCACTGACATTGCCCTTGTCCTACACAGTATTTTCCACGACCCCGCGGCTCCATGCCTTGACCGACCACCATGGTGTGAGTTTCTTCAGCTCCAACTAGGCCACGCCGATTTTCCTATGACATCAGCCGCCCGGAACTTCGGCCACATCCAAGACAACGGAATTCTACGGCATACGGAAACCACCTCATAGTCACTTCCCCCCTTCAATAATG